ATACTGCCATCTTAACAGTGACCATTGGATTAGCTTCATTAGATGACGCCGGTTGAGCAGTGCAAAAGTATTGATCAGTATCGAAAGAAGAAGTTTTACAAAACACCATAACACAATTTTCGCGCAGTGCAATTGAGTCACACTTGAGATGAGTTCTAGTTGGCATAACTTCACTTTGAGCGTACATCACACAAACAGAGTTGTTAAACTTTTGTTGACAGCGAATCAAACTTCCCATCGTAGTTGTGTAATCAACGTTAAAGCAAGTGAGTGCATCAATTTGAGAAAATGAATTATGATTGATACTGACGTCCAATGAGTAGTGATCAGTAAACAAAAATGATTGCGACAAATTGGAGATATTTTCCAATGTTAATGTTGGAACCATTAACTTTCGAAACTCTTCACGCGTTGAAGCAAGTTCCCAACTATCATCAGAAGGCATAGATGAACGAAAAGATAGGTTTTTCAAATCACTCGGAGATCGCAGCAACAATATCGACGAAGATAAAATGTTGTAAACTCCTTCATAAACTCCAGCTGTGCACACTCTTAGATTGTTAAAGTCGACCTTTTCATAGGTTTGAAACTGAGAAGTGTCTGAAATAAAAGCTAATCATTTAGAAAAATCAAAAACAAAATAAAAAACTGTTTACCTGATGGAAGAGTGGATATTAGATTAATATCAGAGAGAAAATCGTCGTCCATGTTTTCACTTAACACTAAACCGTCACCAACAGCGCTACTTTCCATTTTCAACTAAAAACTTAGAGAAACGAAGCAGAGGTTTTAGTTGACAGTGACCAAACTCAAAGCTGTGTAAAGTGATAAAAAAACGCAAAACAGCAAAAAGGCAAAACAAATAAAATAAAACTTTCCGGCAAACTAAAATACTTACAAGATGTGAAAAGACGACAACTGAGGTTATGTGAGTCAATCGTTGATCTAACTTCCAGTCAGGCACAACAGGAACAAAGCAGGTTTTGGAAGTTTTTGAAACGGCAAGTTGCGAAGGATGCGATCGTCGGCAGCAAAAACAAACAAAAATGTCACTATTTCAACAGCGATGATTTGTCTATTTTAACTCATTTTTTTAAATATTTAAAAGTTTGCATGTGGGCAACAACCGGTAAAACAGACAGTAAAGGAAACAACATGAAAACTGAAAATAAGTCATGACTACCTGAAATTATCATCACGTTGATGTACATTGACATAAACAGTCTAAACACATTCTAAGTTAACTAAAAAACAAACAATTTGATAGTCTGAACGTGAACTACTAGCCGGACAGTGGACGGCCATCAATAGTAACAATATTGTTAATGGTGGCTATATGAAAATATTTTCCACAAATAATATAACCAGTGACTTTTTTTTGCAATACTATTTGACCAACTTCTTTAAAATACTCAACAATTCTTTCTAATCAAAAATGTGCTGCATTTGGTATTTTTTTTTGTACAGAATTTCATAGTTGGCTTAAATATTAAATAATAAATCTCATTATTAAATTTAAAATCTACAATCAAAACTAATTAATCATTGTTTTAATAAAACAATACAAAATAGAATGCTTTTGAATTATTTTGTTTAAGATTAGCGCCAAAAGTCAACAATAAAAACCAACAACAGTAGTCATCGTTTAACAATAAAATTCGATTTCTAATTATGTTAGAACTTTTACAATAATGTTTTGCGTGGTACATAAAAAAAGGCCATATGTGAATAGAGAAAGATATACGATTTCACCTTATCAAGGTTTAAAATCAATCCTCTTCCCATAAACTACCGAAGAGTCAACGTTTGTCGACAACTTCTACCTCAAACCTCTATTTTCGTTTTCTCAATTTAATATCTTTGACTTTTTTTTTGATCGAAAACTTTGCAATGGAAAATCAATTTCCACGTGTTCATGAAAACGACCGTTTTGTCCAAGTAATGGAAAGATTACTTACACGCATACAGACACACATCATTGACTTGTGTGATATTTACGACGAAATAGAGTCCATTGAAGAAACTGTCAATGAAATTGTCGCCTACCGAAATGAAGTGCTCAATGCGGCACAAGAGTGGATAGATCTGCACCCATTCGCTTTAAATTTGGGAAAAGTCATCGAGCGCACAATTGCCCTTTGCGAGCAATCAGACGCAGCGATATCCGACCAGTTAAATGAACTGACTGAGTTGGCCGAGGTTGCTAACCTCTGGCAAAATACAATTGGTAGCGCCCTTGACGAATTCGTCTTAGTTTTCTACATGATGGTGATGACTTAGATGTCTCCCATCATAAAACTAGATGAAAAACATTTCCCATTGCGACGTCATCACAACAAGGGACTCATCTTCAAAACCTTCTATTCGACACACACTAAACCTCCTATTCGCAACCCACCACAAAGTTTACCAAAAGCGAAATTTAGTAGGTACAAAATTCTGTCGCCACTCATCTGTCCTCGTCGATTTTGGTCTGACCTGTCAAGACATCTGTAAGTGGATCTTTTTCCCACCAATCGACTGAGTGGTCAGAAAACATTTTTTATCTACTGTCATTGTTTAACATTTATCTCTTCCAACTTATTTATACTTTTTTCTACCATGTAATCTTTTTTAGCATTTTGATTAAAACATTACACTGAACTTTGTTTTTTCACATTTTATTGTAATATCACTATCAATACAAAGCCGCTAGTAACATTGACGCTGAGAGTTTAAGGCAAGTCACATTTTACACAAAAAGTTATTTGGAACTATTTTATTGTTTGTACTGTAAATTCAGAAGGTAAGTTATTACTTAAAAAATGTCAACAGCGCACAGTTTAGTTACATTAGTGACCGAAAAAAACATTACTTTGTAATTATTGAAATGTATATTTTGTTTTGCATTTTTCAGTTGACATTTTTAATTATACAATCAAACCCTTTTAGTTTTTGTAAAGTGTATCAATCAATGCAAAAATTTTAGTAAAATTCGATTCTTTCACCAACAATTGACAAACAACGAACTTTTCAGTTTAACAATACAGTTTTTTAAAATTGAAACAGTAGGACACATTCTAACAATACTTTAGCATGTCGATAAATAAGACAACGAAGACTCAATGAAAGGCATAGAAGTTTTCTAACTCACAAGTTGGATCTTTTCTTATATTTCTTTTTGAAAACCTAATTTTCGCCCACACTCAAAGCCCAGATTTGGCTGTGTAAACCTCTAACTTGCCAAAAAATTCCACCATTTAGTTTTGCTTTTGTGAAACATTGACAATGGCTTTAAACAGAGTAAATCAAGATGACGTTCGCGAAACCACCACCACTCAGTTGATTGAGTTAAGCGAGTGCTTGACTCATCTTGAAGAATTGTACGAGGCGTCGAGCAGAGCTCGACAGACACTCACCGAGTACATGCACACACGCGAACAGATGCGAATTGCCTTTGCACACTGGATGCAACTCGCCAATAGACAAAACGAAGAGGTTATGGAGATTGACACACGCTTTGGCAACTTTATGATTCGAATGAATGAGTCAATCACAGAGTGCTCACGCCTACTGGCAGAGACTCGAGAAGTCATAGCGCTTCTAAACGAACGCATTGCCAACCTGCGCGACGCCGTGGTGGCCGGCCTGTTCCAACTGATGGCTTAATTGTCATCGACTTTGCCTGGAAGGCCCACTGAAACGGCGTCAGCAGTCGAAACTGTCATAGTCATAAACCTCTTTATCGTCATCGTGTTCGTATTTTCGACCACCTTTACACATCACACAGAAGAAAGGTGACACTCACTTAACCATTTTCGGTTTTAACAAAATAACACCGCGTCAACAAATAACACTACGACACCACAACGAAACCCAGTGATCAGTAGACAATGGCCTGCCATTAGTAACAAGAAACTTTAACTTTCATCTGGTCGACAATCTGGAACGTACTGTGGTGGAACGCATTTTATCTCAAACTTATCTATCTTTTTTACTCTCAAACTTATCTCTACATATAACCACATTTTATCATGATTAAAACACTTTATCTATACATCTTTCAACCTATCAATGAGTATGTCCGAGTCCTTGTGACACTCCTTGACGACGGTGGCCACGCACTTCTGCCGCCGCTTCCAGTGCACGTGCTCCGGCGGCTCGGTGATGGAGAAGAGTTTTCTTTTGTTATAGTTTATTTGTATTTAACAAATTTTGTTGTTTACAGTGGTCTCCTGGAAGATGGCCGCCTGTCTGGCGGCGGGGAACACCGTGGTGCTGAAGCCGGCTCAGGTACGAGGATAAGGGTTGAAGTCTAGTTTTGATTTTTCTGATTTTTATGGCTTTCTTTTCAATGATTTTCCAATGTCTGCCCACTAACGGCCCTGAAGCTCGCCGAGCTGACCGTCCTCGCCGGTTTCCCGCCCGGAGTTGTGAACATTCTCCCCGGAACCGGCAGTGCCTGTGGTCAGGCAATCGCCGACCACCCGCTGGTTCGAAAACTCGGTTTCACCGGCTCCACGCCCATCGGTAAACTGATCATGGCCAGCTGCGCCGCCTCCAACCTCAAGCGAGTCAGCCTGGAGCTGGGCGGCAAGTCGCCGCTGATCATCTTCCGAGACGCGGACCTAAATCGGGCGGTCCGCCAGACAATGTCCGGTGTCTTCTTCAACAAAGGTAAACAGTTGATCCCTTTTGTTTTAGAAGCCTTTGTTTATCATATTTCTCTTTCTCTAGGCAAAAACTGCATCGCCGCCGGCCGCCTCTTTGTCGAGCGCTCCATCCACGACCGCTTCATTCGAAAGGTCGTTCGCGAGGTGAAGAAGATGAAGATCGGAGACCCGCTGGACCGCTCCACCGACCACGGCCCCCAAAATCACCGCGCCCACCTTGAGAAGCTGATTGAGTACGCGGAGATTGGCATCAAAGAGGGCGCCCGCCTGGTGTACGGCGGAGGCTAGGTCCAGGGCCGCCCAGGCCTCTTCTTCACGCCCACCATCTTCACCGACGTCACCGATGAGATGTACATTGCCAAGGAGGAGTCCTTTGGCCCCATCATGATCGTCTCCGTCTTTGAGGACGTGCAGTCGCAGGCGGACATTGAGAAGCTGGTCGCTCGGGCGAATGACACCGAGTTTGCCCTCGCCTCGGGCGTCTTCACGCGGGACATCTCCAAGGCGCTCCTCGTCTCAGAGAAGATCAACGCCGGCACCTGCTTTATCAACTGCTACAACAAGACGGACGTCGCCGCCCCCTTTGGCGGCTTTAAGCAGTCAGGCTTTGGAAAGGATTTCGGCGCCGAGGCGCTCAACGAGTACCTGAAGACAAAGACGGTGACGGTGGAGTACTAAAAAGGGACTACTACTTCTCTTTTGGTTTTTCTCATTTTATCCTCCTCTATTTCTCATTTGTTTGTCATTGTGTTAAAACAAATTCAGATCAATTAAATCTTGTCCTGTTTTCAATAAAAATTAAAAATTTTTAATTAAAACAATTAAGCATTAGTTGGGTTGTCATGATCTTGTAAATACATAACGCAGATAGTTTTGTTCTATTCCTGTGAATAGGGCCTCTATCCCAGGTGTTGACTATGTACGTAGTTCGCAAGCGAAGATTCGTAGATAACTCAAAGGTTTATCAAACCTTTGACATTCTTCTGAGAATCTATTTCGATGTCGACGCTGACAATATGTGTTTCATTAAACAAAAATGCCCGCGATAGATCACAAATTGTTTCAATTGAAAACACTGGAGCCATTAGATTTTTAAAAATCTTTCGATTTGAAACTTCATTCCATTTATCAGAAGAAAGTAGGCAAAAAACAGGTTTGTCTGTTTGTTAGGAGTTCTCAGCGTGCTGATTTTATGTTTAAACTTTTCACTTTTGCCAAAAACGTTTAAACGTAGCCCAAAAAACAACAATGAAAACCAACAACAATAAAAACCAACAGCAGTAGTCATCGTTTAACAATAAAATTCGATTTTGGATTATGTTAGAACTTTTATAATAATGTTTTGTGTGGTTAATAAAAAGAGCACTATGTTAATAGATAAAGTTATACGATTTCACCTTATCAAGGTTTAAAATCAAGCCTCTTCCAGCAAACAACCGAAGAGTTAAACTTTTATCGACAACTCATACATCAAACCTCTATTTTCGTTTTCTCAATCAACTATATTAATTTTTTTTGATCGAAAACTTCACAATGGAACACCAAATTCCACGTGTCCAAGAAAACGAACGCTTCGTCGAAGAGATCGAAGGTTTGCAGCGTGACATCCAAACACATATGGAAGATCTCGACGAGCTCAATGAAGATTGGCTAAACATAGAGGCACAACTTAACAACACGCGCAATTGTCGCGACAGCGTAATCGAAAACTTCGAAGAGTGGTCGCGCGAAAATCAATTTGCTGAAAACCGAGACGAAGTTGCCCAGTTAGTAACTCAAATCACTACTCAATTGAATGAAACAATTGAAAACCAAGCTCGTGAACTTCACGAGATGGATGGAGCGATTGAATTCGTGAAAAATAGGATTTGGATAAAGTACTCACGAATACTGGAAATTTATTACCAACTGATGGCGACGCAACGTCGTTGAGTGTAACAACTCATCGAGTCGTTTCAACAGCAGAACTGAACAAGACTGTAAAATCGCACCACCAACGCTACCAATAAACCTCTCATTCGCATCACACCACACATATTCTCACAGGCAAAATTTTTGAACTGTACAAAATTCTGTCGCCAATCATCTGTCCTCGTCGATTTTGGCCTGACCTGTCAAGACATCTGTAAGTGGATCTTTTTCCCACCAATCGACTGAGTGGTCAGAAAACAATTTTTTATCTACTGTCATTGTTTAGCATTTATCTCTTCCAACTTATCTATACTTTTCCTGTCATGTAATCTTTTTTAGCATTTTGATTAAAACATTACACTGAACTTTGTTTTTATTACATTTTCTTTCAATATCATTATAAGTACAAAGCCGCTAATAACATTGACGCTGAGAGTTTAATGCAAGTCACATTTTACACAAAAAGTTATTTGGAACTATTTTTTATTGTTTGTACTGTAAATTCATAAGGTAAGTTATTACTTTATTGATAATAATAATGAAAACAATTAAACGATGCATAGGTTTAGTAACTAAATGTTAACTTTAATCCAAATTGCGTCAGATGCTCGAGTAGCCAGCACTTTGGATATGATTCCGCCAGAAAATAGGCAATCGGCGTCCGNAAAGGCAATCTGTCCGAATTGCTTCGTGAAAAAGCTTGCTCCATCCTTGGTGAGTTTTAAAATCGTCGTATTTGGCCAGAACGTAGACGCAGGCAGCACGGCTAAGAGCGACGTTTAGGCGGCGGAGATCGGAAGCAAAGCCGACACTGTAGTGTTCGACAGAGGCCCGCACGGCACTGACAATTGCAATGTCACACTCGCTGCCTTGCATTTGATCCACTGTATAGACTTTGACGATTTCGTGTAGATTTTCTTCAAATAAAAGGCGACGATAGAGGTTTACTTGGCCCCGATAAAGAGCAATAATGCCATAAGTCAATTCCTTTTGTCTGGGAAAGCTTCGATTCTCAAAATTGAATCCCTGTCGTTGAAGTGAAGCGCGAAGGAGGGCCACTCCAAATTCAGCTTCTTTTTGATTTTCATATGAAAACGAGTTGTTTGTTCGTTTATCTTTCCATGATTCACCGGAAAACACAAGAAGCGCAGGGTGACTGTTAGTTTTTGTCCAGTTTCCATCTGGATCTGTTGTAAGTTGGTCAGCTGCAGCAGCATTATAAGAAATGTGGCTGACAATACTAGCCACAAATGGTTTCATTCGATGTTGTTGGCGAAGACAAAAAATCGCATTTGGTCCTTTTGTTTGAAGAAAATTGCAAATTTTGACGAAAATAGAGGTTTTATCTATAGGCATGTTCATCATTAGTGAAGATTTGAGAGTGGGTCCCAATTGTCTGGGATCACCAATCAAAACGAGGCGAGAAATTGAAGTTAAATGGAGAGGGAACAAAATTTCCTCTAACTTTGCTTGACCGCACTCATCGACGACAAGCAGATCAATTTGAAGACGAATTCTGAGGTTTAAAATTTCGTTCGACATCGAAGAGCCCAAAGTCACAACAATGATGTTTGATGTTAAAAGAAATTCACGCATTACTACTTGTTTCGAAGGCTCCTCTTCACTATCGCCTTTGATTTCTTGGGCAATCAAATCATAATCAGTTTGAGTTTGGATACGAACGTTAGGTTTAAACTTTTCTCTTTCTCCTGGTCGACAAATGCGAAGATGCGGTAGCTGGGCCCGAAGTTTGGTGTAAAACACGTCAGCCGCAGCATTTGATGGAGCCGTTACAAGAACTTTCGGTAATTCTTCTGACGAGCTTTCGGCAGTTGTAATGTAGTCGACAATAGAAGAAACTACAGTTGTTGTTTTTCCTGTACCTGGTGCACCGTCTAAAACAAGCAAACCTAACTTGTCACACGTCATCAACTTGTTAAACTTTTCTTTAAATGTACGTTCATTTGAGGTGGAAAATAACACGAAAAATAGGTTTGGGTTGATGAAAGCATTAAATGCAGGCGACAAATTGTAGTCTCTCTCTGCTGGAAAATCTGCTGGTCGATCAGGAACAGATACAATTTTCAATCCTTTGAGAAACTGTGTCACTTGTGAGAGAAACACTATCTCAGTTTTTCCTTCTCGAAAAATTTTCTTGAGCGTGGATCGATTTTCGTCCGTTTCAGCCATACAGGCGTTCAGAACTAAAGAGACGATGCGATTACCATCATCATTGTCAGTCAAGGAATTGACACCTGTATCGTCGTCGTTATCGATAAAAGAGGTTTTGGTAAAAATGAGAATGCAGTTGTTTTTCATAGCATCATCATCGCATTTAAGCTGCAGTTCAGTGAAACCACAGTTTTGAGACTTCATTAGCCAGAAAGAATTGCAATACTTTTGCTGGCATGATGCGAGATTCTTGATGGGAACTTCTAGCTCAATATCAAAACATGTAAGTGCTCTGACACGAGAAGTTGAAAATGGCACAATGTTGGTGGCATGTGAAGTAAGTGTTTCGAGCATGAAAACCTGCGAAAGATCACAAATAGTTTCAAGGGCCATCAAAGGAATCATTAGATTACGAAAACTTTTGCGGTTTAAAACTGCTTCCCAATCATGCAACAAAGGGAATCGTGAGGCGAAACTGAGGTTTGTGGCATCGTTTGGCGATTTGAGAAATAGAACAGATGACGACAACACGTCAAACAATCCGTCGTAGACACCGACATGACTGATCTTTAAATTGGAAAATCTAATTCGCAGATAACCAGGAAAATCGTCCAAAACTAGAAATAATAATATTTGTAACAAACATGTAGAATTGCTTATACATTACTCACTTTGATTTGACGGTATGTGATTTAAAACCTCTGGTTCTCGATCAACCCTTTCGGTGAAATCACTGTCTTCCAAATCCTCCATCACAGATACAAAAGCACTTTAAACGAAACTAGAGGTTTAGTAAAATTCAAAGACACTACAACGCAGCATGCAACCTAAAAACTCACAAAAATAAATGTCGGGTAATTTTAAATTGAGTAGAAAAACTTACAGGCGAAAGTAGACACGAGAAAAAGGTTTTAGTTGAAGTGGAAATCTACTCGATGAACTTGATGTCACACAGAGAGAAGGAGAGAGAGAGAGAAAGAGAGAAACAAACAGACACACAACAAACGTGAGCAAAAAAACACGTGCAAATCTATTTCAACAAACGAAGCTCTTGACTATTTAAACTAACACACATTTAAAAATTCTGGCGACACTTGTGCATTGTGAAATTCCACTGACTTTTGTCTCACAAGTAAAGTGAGTGTGTCTGAGTTGGTAAACTTTCATATCCCATAAATATTGTCATTGTGAGCCGCTATGTAAACTTATAAAAAATGTCAGCATTGCACAGTTTAGTTACATTAGTAAACAAAAAGAACACTACTATGTAATTATTGAAATGTATATTTTGTGTTGCATCTTTTGGTTGGCATTTTAAATTATACAATGAAAATTTTTTAATTTTAAATCAAGGAAGTGTATCAATTAGTGCAAAAATTTTAGTAAAGTTCGATTCTTTCACCAACAATTGACAAACAACGAACTTTTCAGCCAAACAATACAGTTTTTTAAAATTGGAACAGTAGGGCACTTTCTAACAATACTTTAGCATGTCGATAAATAAGACAACGAAAACTCAATGAAAGGCATAGAAGTTTTCTAACTCAAAAGTTGGATCTTTTCTTGTCTTTTCTATTTTTTTCAAAAACCTAATT